CGATCTTCCAAATTTTATCAAATGCGACTGAAGCTCACCTCTCGAGTGTAAAGAGTTAATATATCAAATTTAAAATAATGTAATACTGTGGGAGACATCGAAATTTAATAATTCTACGTGTTAATTATTATACGATTTCTTAAAAAATATCGTCAGCCTTATAATAGAAAATTTTTCAACTCGTGCCCTTTTTTAGCCAAAAAATCGTTGAGCGCAAAGGGTTAATATAATTTAATATAACGCGATAATTTATATTGAATAAACTCGATACAGAACAGAACGTAATGAATATTTCATATATTAAACAATTTATAAATTAAATAAAAAATATTAAATTATATTTTATGTATTATATATTAATATATAGAGAATATTTTTTATGTAAGAAAGATTGTATAATAATTAAGCGGCTATTGTATTTTTTTTGTTAATTTTCTCGTTCTCGAATTATTTTTTTATGAGTGGACAAAAATTTTCTGAATATTTTGACATTTATATGTCGAATAATAACTTAAAAATCTTATTATTAAATCAACTGCGTCGATATATGAATCATTTTTCTTTCCCTCTTCATTTCAAATACGTACTATAAATTTACTAATACATTTCCATGTGTATATGTAGGTATACTCTTGTGTCCCAAAGATTAAAAATAAGTTCTTAATAAACTTTATTAGAACATGAAAGCATTTTATATTGAAAATGATTTGATTTCCTTATGTAAGCTGGATAATAAAATCAGATAGAATATAAAAAAATATCGCTAATTAAAAATAATTTAATTCAAATATATAAAATCGATTAGAATATAAAAGTATTGCTGCTTGAAAACAATTTAATTCAATTATGTAAATTGACTATTGAAAATATTAAAAACATATAAAAGAAATATATATTTTGTTACCAATAGAAGCAAATACATCCCTCATTTTTAATATAACTAGTAATTAACATTTCATTCGCTATTACAAATTTTTAAAGAAATTACTAACGATTCTAAATTTCTTTATTTGTTCAACATACGGAGCATTTGTATTGTATAATAGAAACGATTTGCAAGAGTTACAAGCACGTTATGCAAAAGTACTATAACAGAGCTAATATCGCAGTGCTTGATTCTCAATGTACTGGTTAGTAATGAATGTATTAATTTGGCCCGCAACGTCCGCGATTAGATTCGTGTACCATTCAGGTTAGTTCAGGATTTACAGGCCCGTGAAGGAAGCAATCCGCATAGTTACAAAGAGATTTCCAATTTCTACAGTAATGCTCTGCGTTTGTACCAGAGTTGCCCATTAGAAAAGCCATGGATGTTAAAAGCGTAATATTTTACTCACAGTGGTATGGAAAAAAGTGATTATTTCAAAGATAATAATTCAGTTTGTGAAACGTGAAATCATACAATAAAAAATATCAAACAAACCTAATTTTTATCTTTTATTTTCACTTGCAATCGATTATTGGCTGTCTTATTCAAATTACATTTGTTATAGTTTTATGAAAAGAAATAATTTTACTATTTTGCTATTTAGCAACCCATTAAAATCTTCTTACTGTAAAGTATTATTATTAAGTATAGAAAAATATTACATTTATTTTAAATTAAATATGTATACTCATATAACATTGCTTTTCATAATAAAGAATTCTTGAGGAAACAGTATTTTTAAGTTCACTTTTTCAGGAGATAATTCATTTTATTCAGTTAAAACATTCACTTTGCACACTAATTAAATAGGTATAATTTATTTATTTATTTATTTATAATATTTTTGTCTGCATGAATAGTGTTTCGCATTTTGAATTTAATTCCAGCTATTTAGTATAAAAATACAGTAAGAAACAAAAAAAAGAAATCAACGAGAAAATTAAAATTTCAGATCTCTTAAATAAAGTATTTGCAAGCATGCTTTCAAAGAAAAACTTTTTCTTTTGTTTTCAGGTGTATATTTCACATTTTAAATTTAAATCCTGCTATTTATATAAAAATATACTATATTAGAAAAATCAAAGAAAAAGTGAGAAAAAAGAGGAAATCAATGAAAGATTAAAATTTAAGATCTCTTAAACAAAGTATTTGCGAGAATATTTTCAAAGAAACACTTTTTCTTTTGTATTCAGGTCTATATTTCACATTTAAAATTTAAAAATTAAAAAATTCTGCTATTTAATATAAAAATATATTATATTCATAAAAAGAAAAATAAGAAAAACAAGATTAAATCTTGGACTAATAACCACCGAAAAATTAAATGGCAGAAGGTGGTTTTCTGATCAAAACGAGCCGGATCACCGATTTTTCGAGGTCAAAGATACCCTACTTGACCAACACGGGGCCAGTCGTTCGGAATAAGAATGGCAGAAAAGTGAGCCCGATATCGACAGAAGGGCTTTTCACTTCCCATGCTGTGTACGCGATGTTCGTGACAAGTTTGCAGTTCGATAAAGCTAGTACCTTTGACAAACCCGATATTTCTTTTCACTGCGAATCCGTTGATAGTCGAAAGCCCGTATATTCCCTCGCGGTGAGCGTTGCGCTACGTAGCGCCCTCAAAATTCAATAAACAATTCAGTCCAACTTTTTCATAGCTCCAACGGGTCATAGTTCACCTAAAAATTCACCTGTTACGTATCTCTGCGACGATTTGCCTTATGTATGTCCTTTGTTCCAAACCATTCCGAAGGAAGGAATTTATCCTTAAATCTCGATAGCTACCTACATGTCGAAATTCCCAGGATGAATGGATTTTTGGTATTCTGAACGTGGTGAGTGTCATAGATGAACATATAGTAAATCACAAAATTAAACCTTTGCACTAGAATCTCTTCAGTCGCCATTTGGTAAAATTTCGAAGCTCGATATTAATTAATATATCAAATTTAAAATAATGTAACATTGTGTGAAATATCGAAATTAAATAATTCTACGCGTTAATTATTATAGGATTTCTTATTTGCTGTGGAAAAAGTATCATCAGCCATATAGTAGAAAATTTTTCAACTCGTACCCTTCTTTAGGCAAAAATTCGTCGAGCGCAAAGGGTTAATTGTGATTATTTGGGTAATTTTTAGGTGACTAACAAATTACAAAAGGCAATTACTATATATGACATTGATATAGTATACATGATCACACCTCTATTTTTTTACATATTATTCAATGTATTAGATTATTATTACAAATGATGAACATCGTTTTTGGACACTAACAATCATTATTAATGATTACGATTTTATTTTCGTTAACGTGAGATCTTTTATTCTACTCTTTTTACATAAACATCCATATGTTTCTTTTTATTTTAAATGTTCTATAATTAATTTTACGTCGTTGATATAATATTTTATACTATAATAATTAATGCGATTGATAATGTGTCGTTGATACTGTGAGTGTGATGATGATTTAATATGATCTACATACTCACAGAGATTCATATAAAATAGAAAATTGAGAAAAGAAATTGAGAAATATGTTTTTTCATTTTTAAAGGAGCTATTTGTGAGTGTTGGTTTGATATGTGTGAATGGGAATGAGGTAGAATAAGTGAAAGTCATTTGGGATGATATAAATATAATATGTGCGAGTGGAGTTTAGTATGAATGTTGTTAAAAAAATGATTAGAAGAATGTGCAAGAATGAAACAGTTACGTGAGAATCGTCAAAGAGTAAACACGTGTTAATAAGAATGAGAGAGAGAGAGAGAGAGAGAGAGAGAGAGAAGAATTTTCTAGATAGCGTGAATTGTGTGAATTTTTGTTTAAAATAGTGTATTGTGAATTGACGTTAATATTTAAATATTATTATATAAATATATTAATTTGTTAACTGCTAAAAAATGTACAAAATATTGGTTTCCATTTCTATCCACAGATACTATAATAATTGTCCATAATAGCAATATAGGTAATGACTAAAATTATTGAGAAAAAGCGTTCTAGTCGATAGTAATAATTGACAATCGAAATAAAATTCTGGTCACGATTATGGTTATCCGTAACCAAAATCAATTAACGCCATCTATAATAGTTATTCACAACTAAAAAAAAATTTAAATCATTTCTAATGATTATCCTTAACCAGAGCAGGTACAAATTAAATTTGTAAATTATTCTATTTTTCAAGGAATTAATTTTCAAATTTATTATTCTATTTCTTAAGGAACTCATTTTCAAATTTATTATTCTATTTTTAACGGAATTCATTTTCTCATTGTATCATATACGAAGAAAAACCATCATTTTATTAATCTTTCTTCTCATCAAATCTCAAATAAAATAATCGACATTTTGAATCTCACAATCAGTGATTAATTAAAGAAGAGAACGAAGAAACGAATGATTAATATTCGACACTAGATCGCGTGCTAATTGTTCATGGTGGTCGACAATTAATCCACATTTTCTCGTTCCGAGTCCACCAGATGGCGACACTGGCGACTGCATCGAAAAATCAACAGTTTATCCATAACTCTTCTCATTAAATCTTTAAAATAACTATTGTATTAACTTTCAGTGACGAATTAAAGAACAAAATAAATCAGAGAATGATCGATATTCGCCATTGGATCTCGTACCAGTCGTCGATCGCGGTCAACAGTGAATCCACATTTTACGGTTCCGCTCCGCCAGGTGGCGACACTGTAGTTCCCCACGGATCTTCGCGATACTAGTTACAAACCCAAAATTCCTTACAATCTCGCCAAGTACGAGTACATTCCGGGTAGCACACATATCCTCTCGACTTAAAAAAATTTCCTGCCACGCGTTTACCGTGTTATCGTACATTGCTAAACGCTGGCGAGAGCGTTTGAGACGAGCTATAATTAACGTGGAACGTAAAATAGGTATAATTACTTGACGTATGTACCGGGGGATTCTTACAAAGTGAAGGAACAAAAGAGGGGACGAAGAAGAGAAAGAGAGGAGAGAGTCGTCAAGATAAATAGAAAGGACAGGAGGAAAATGAAGAAGAGAAAGAAAGAGACGGATTTACTCACCGAGTATTTTCCGGGCACGTAAATGGGCTGTGAATGACTGGTAGTGAGTTGAGTGTTGGGCATTCTGGGAGAAGCATTTGTTTCACGGCGGCGTAGCTCCTCAAGCGGTTCCAGGACGTCTCCGTAATGCGTTCTGAAGAGGTCTGCATACCTTGAAGCCAGTCCCTCTAAGTATCCCCTCTCACCTTCCTGAAGCAGCCATTCGAAAAAGACGAAACATCAAGAAGGGTGCCTTTCAAATGTAGCTACGTGATCCACTAATTGCTATAAACTTAATTTCTACGAATCCAGAGTGGTTGCGTGGAACGTCGATGTAGTGTTCCTATAGTGAGGCAATGTCAGGACGTACAATATAACTGGGAATACAGTTTCCAGTTTGTAAATTTTAATCATAAATTCAGTATAACCAAATGACTATTTTTAGATGGATCAAGTAGCATGTTTCTAGGTCCAAAATTTAATGCATTTAAAGATATGTACATCTGAGAAGGTTAGTTTTGTTTCATTTTTAGGTAGTTTAAATTTCTTTGCAATCTTATTTGACATACAAAGATATACAGTTTTTAGATATATAAATTTGAGAATAGAAAGAGTATTATTTTTGTAGTGTAAGTACCTGCAGTATAAATAAGTATAGTGTAACAGTTATGCTGTATAACACGAACAAGAAAGAATTTGAGATTTTTCATAGTCTTTAATTTGGAATTCTTATTTCATTCGTAGCATGAATTTGAGTTCGATTCAATGTGTCTAAAAATTATCAGAATAATACAATTATAACAGTGTAAAATACAGATAGAAGGAAATCTAGTTTTCATACGGAATTACTGTCTTATTCTTAAGATAAATAGGTAATATTTAGATCACGATATAGATAAAAAGTAAAATATAAATAATTTTTTATCTTGGAATTTCTATTTTATTTTTAATGGAAATTTTTATAATATGAAAATCTAAAATATTATTAACAAAGTGTGACAGGAATAATATATAACACAGATAAAACAGAAATTTGAATTTGAATTCGAATTCAAACCAATTTCATTTTCAACATAAATTTGAGTTTGATTCAATTTTGTTCAGCTTAAATATAAAGTATATATATAAGCATAGTATAATAGTAATAATATATGGCATAGATAGAAATTTATTATAGAAGTTTATTTTCCACGGTGGTACTTTTATTTTATTATCAGCATAAATTTGTGTTCAAAGCAATTTTATAAAAATGGTCTGCATACATTGATAATTGTTAAGACATATAAAATTGTAAATATTTTTAATAAGACAACTTCCTTATGTAATATTGTAGAAATTATACTGTAGATTAATTATTGTAGAAATTATATTGAAATTACAGACGTAAATTATTGTAGAAATTATATTGTAGAAATTACAGACGTTATTACTTGAGAAACATTAGGTAAGGGAAGAGGTTTCTCTTTTCAAATGACCAACATGTATCACATAAAAGCAAGAATTCTCTCTGTCACAAAAACTCTAGTTACATGCCAATGACAAATCTCCTACCATAGAATCCCATATCAATAACTACAACAGTTTCCATAATAAATCCAAAATAGCTCACTAAAATTGCACGATCCAAAAATTATACCCTAAAACTCAGGTAAAACTGTATCCAAACTGAAAAATAACTAGAAAAATCCCTAAACTTCCAAAACCTAAAAATTATTTCTCGATACTGCAGAAACCCTCGAGAAACCTAAATCGTAAAGACCAAATCTAATAATAAATCCCAATCCTTAACCCCTTGCACTCTGTGATTTTTTCGTTCCAGGGAAATAGTAATTCGAAGACTTTCTGCCATAAGGTTGACGATATTTCTAAAATTTTTACTTCGATATTCCACGCATCGTTGGGTAATTATAAATTTGATGCATTAATTAACATCCACCTTTAGAATCCGATTAAATCGTGACTGAGAGGTGCCTCTCGAGTGCAAAGGGTTAAATAACCCAAAACTAATATCTCCACTCTGGAAGAACCCCTAGAAAACAAAGATCAACCAATACCTTTTCCCTCTTTCGATTGATATACAAATTCATTTTCTCCCGCGAAGCTTCTCCATCATACACACTCACACACACATACAAACTGATACACGCGAAAAAGGCGAGCGATGTTCGTTGTTCCATGTGTCGGCACGTTACACGACAAGGTAGAGAAGGTAGCCGTGTACGCGGAGCGGAGTGGAGAAAACGTTGAAGCACGAAGAAGGAGGGAAAACAGAGAGCAGAGGGAAAAGGAACATCAGTGTAAGAGGAAGAGGAGGTGAAAAGGGAGAAGAAGAGCAGAGGATCAACGTACAACGCTGGAGGAAGTCGCATTAATATTTCACAATTCCACTTTTGCTGGCTCTCGATTTGGCTTGGTACCGTCCATTGAAGGGCTGGCTATGTTCTTTCCTTTCATAAGTTTAAGAAAGAGAGAAAGAGGGAAGAGGGAACTGAAAACGTGGGGAAAGAGATGAAGGAGAATACTTTGTCTGGCGTGAGTCTCCTTTTATTTACACTCCGAGCGTCGCCATCCATATGCCCGACGTTGTCGGCTACCTCGCAGTCTGTCAGATATTCTTCCGTTGCTGAGGATATTTCGTACATTTAAATACTCTTTTTGAGTGTCAAAGTCGGGGTGAAAAGGAAACGAGACCGTAACGTATTCCTTTTTTAATATTTCGCTTTCCGGGCAAAAATTTCTCTCCGTTCACTACAGCTTGGTTAGGTCAAACCTATTGGATACGTATGTGCATACAGGAATCTTTGAACCGCATTAGAACCTTGCACAGTGATATAATTATGGAAAATTGTGGATCGAGGAAGTATCCTATTTCAATTTTACTTCTGCAGTTGGTTCTAGACAAAGGGAACACGTCGTTCGACCATCTTCCGTCAGTGAGTGGCTAACGCGAGATATTGGATCGTGTCTTCCGTTATTCAATGCTCTTTATGACGATAATCCGTGATTTCGCGACGTGGGTAGTGCGTACACTGTGAATCTGTACTATTGTAACTGTTAATCCTTGAAATACCGTTTCCGGTATTCCGTTCATCCTTTTGTTTAGGACAGACTGTGTATCTAAATGTGAAGGCTCAGAAATTTTACAAGTACCAGTGTTGCGGCCCTAGGACCGCAATGTCACAGGTCAAATGGAAGACTGTTTTATGTCCTTATTGTCAGCGTCCCTTGACTTCTATACACTCATTGTCATCTAAGCCACCACTTGGGTAAACCGTAACAAGCAACAATATATCACCCTTAAGACGACAGACACAAGGACACAGATTGTTTAAACAACCACCACCACCGAAAGACGCTGGAGCTAGCACACACCTCCAATATTATTCGCAACCAATCAGTAGACAGACGAAGCTTATAAAACCACCGACAGAGCAGTCACGAAGAGAGTTCTCCTAAAATACAGTCCACTTACCACTTCGAAGCTAGACATAACCTTCCTGAAAGAACCGTCCGTCACTAATCGTCGCCAACTAAGATCGACATAGTGACGATATACACTTTCCTCTCTTTGAATCGAGCCTTTTAATAAATTAGAAAAGCTAAGTGGAAACTGACAGCGCATATTATTGTCTAATAAATTCTTTATACGCAAAGCGGTGCCCGAGCACCAGTTTTACAGTATTTAAGTACTTTCCTTATTACTAAAAAATGTAAATTAATATAATGTCACCGCAAAATTAGTATCAGCATAGTACTATCGTTAACAAAAATAAGTATACGTATCATACATAGTCGCCAACTAAGATCGACCTAGTGACGATATACAGTATGTTTATTTCGATTACTATAATATTGCGAAGGCTTTAGAACCTAACCCTTTCCTGTCCAAGTACACTTCTCAGGCATATTCCATGTTTTATTCATACGTTATTATGGTATTCAACACTGGTAATACAATGGGGGTCAAAATGACATATTTCGAACATTTTATTTTCCCAATTAATGAAAATATTCAGGTGTTTTTGAAAAAATTATACTAAATTTTGTTCAAGCAGGGTCACAATTACATATGCGTTTTTATTTGCACTGTATCATACTAATTAATACCAACTACACGTGTTATACTCAGCTATACAAACTAGTATAGTAGTTTTAATATTAAAATATAACACCTAAATTCTTTTGAAAAAGACAAGTGTAATGTTTTACGAAATAATTTATTTAAAATATATACAATATTTTCATATAATAAATTAATTAAACATTACACTTCTGTAATCATCTCTATACTTCTTAATCTCAAATTAAAATTGCTGAAAATAATTGGGAAATTTCTTTTTGCGTGCAAAAATTCGCATCAGATACGTTCAGCTGACAAAGCAAGCCAGACGATGCTACTCGAAATAAAAATATCAGATACAAGTACAGCATTGTATAACTACTTTGGAGCACGTTCGTTTTGCTCGTATGCTGAATCAATCAAAACGACAGATCAAAATATCAAGATCTGCCCTCTTCAATATTTATGATCGTTACTGTACTGTCAGATAAATGCAGGTGTCAATAATGCATACAATGGGATCTGCAGAGCGTACACTGGTACCGTGCAATACGTATCGGATCACGGGCGTTCGATGGATCAGGGGTGGAATGAACTCGTCAAACACAAGGGTGTCAAGTGTCAAGATTTTTACTGCACTACAATTTATTCCAATGTTTCTCAAAGCGTGCTTAGCCGAGCTTTAAGTTTCCACTGGAAACTAATCCTTTCATTTAATTAGTACCAATGAATGTTGGGATACTGTTTGATTAACAAATATAAAGAATAAGAGAAGTTATTTTAATCTAAAATATATATTTATTACAAACTAAATGCGATTAGAAGTATAAATTAAGAGACTAGACTGATAACTGGACATTCGATTTGAACCCAAGCTTTAAGTTTCCACTGGAAACTATTCGTTTCATTTAATTAGTACTAATGAATGTAGGGATACTGTTTGATTCGCAAATAGAAAGAATAAGAGATGTTATTTTAATCTAAAATATATACTTATTGCGAGCAAAATGAGATTAGAAGTAAAGTATAAATTAAGAGACTAGACTGATAACTGGACATTCGTTCTGAACCCGAGACTATTGTTTGTTATCCATCATCAGCCAAGTAGGTCCAAGTGTTCCTTTGTACTCAC